AAATAATTCAAAAGTATTTAGGAGAAATAGGCTTTTCCAAGGAAATTATCGAAAATTTGAAACAAAAATACAAATTCATTTTTATATTAGATGGATATGATGAAATTAAGGATCGTCAATCAAATTTTTATGATAAAAATAAACTCGGCGAGTGGAATGCCAAAGTTATTATTAGTTGTCGACCAGAATATTTAGGTGCTAAATATCAGCAAAAGTTTTATCCTAATCGGAACCCTAAAAATTTTCAGGAAATATGGCTAGCACCTTTTTCTAAAGAGGAAATTCGAGAGTATATTAGAAAGTGCATCGAGAAATCAAAAGATATCGCACAAAGGATGCAGTGGGATGCACAACAATATGATGCCATTTTAGAGCGTATTCCCAATTCAGATAGGTTACTAAGTAACCCCTTTATCTTGAAGATTGCTGTGCAAGCCATGCCAGACTTATATCAGCAAGAGAATGAGAACTCGGCAAAAAATATCACACGCTTGGCCTTATATAATATGTTTGTGGAAAAATGGTTTGAGCGATCCCAAGACCGTTTAAGTCGTATTCAGTTGGATGAAAAAGAAAAGGAAGCTTTTAAAGAGTTAGATGAAGATGATTTTACACAACATTGTATACAATTTAACAAAGACTTGGCAGCTACTATGTTTATGGCTAATGAAGTAGTAGTAGAGTATTCAGGCGTAGATAACATAAAACTTCAACCGAATTGGCGGGAAAAATTCTTCGGGAATAAATATCCTACAACTCGTCTCCTGCGTTATAATTCTCCTTTAAGTCGCAATGGTAACCAATATCGATTTATTCACAAATCTTTATCCGAATATTTTGTTGCCCGAGCAATCTGTGAAACAATTTGCGAAGAACCGAGATCCAAATTATTTGAAGAAAACTTGATACTACGTGAACCCGGGATTGTTCGCTTTTTAACAGAGCATGTGCAGCAAAGTATGTGTTTTGGAGATGTACAACAGGCCGAAAAATTAAAAGAGAATCTTTTAAACTTTATTGAGAAATCAAAAGAAGACATTAATTTTGAAATCGCTGCAACAAATGCAATCACAATTTTAAACAAAGCCGGAATTGTATTTAATGGTGGAAATCTAAATGGCATTCATATTGCTGGAGCAGATTTAAGTTACGGCGTGTTTGATCACGCCAAATTCAAAGAGGCAGATTTAAGTAATGTTAATTTCAAAGGGGCGTGGTTGCGATATGCAGATTTTAGTGGTGCTAATATGTCGGGTGTGCAATTCGGTGAGCTACCTTTTATAGATCTTGAGAGTTGGTGTAATTGCTGCTGTTATTCCCCAGACGGATGTTTTCTTGCCGTTGGTAGTGGAGTGAAAATTTATCTTTATAATGTCGAAACGTTAGAAAAGATACGTACTTTCGAAGGACATACTGAGCTTGTTATGAGTGTGACCTTCTCATCTGATGGCACCCAACTGGCATCGGGCAGCAAAGACAAGACGGTGCGGCTGTGGTCTCTCGAGAATTTAGACCAGAGTCCACGCATTCTAGAAGGACATACTGATTCGGTTAGAAATGTGACCTTCTCACCTGATGGCACCCAACTGGCATCGGGTAGCAACGACAATACGATGCGGTTGTGGTCTCTCAAGAATTTAGATCAGAACCCGCACATTCTAGAAGGATTTACTGGTTGGGTTAATAGTGTGACCTTCTCACCTGATGGCACTCAACTGGCATCGGGCAGCAATGACAAGACGGTGCGGATGTGGTCTCTTGAGAATTTAGATCGAAATCCACGCATTCTAAAAGGACATGCTGGTACCGTCAATAGTGTGACCTTCTCACCTGATGGAACCCAGCTGGCATCGAGCAGCAATGATAAGACGGTGCGGCTATGGTCTCTCGAAAATTTAGATCATGATCCACGTATTCTGGAAGGGCATACTAATTGGGTTGAAAGTGTGACTTTCTCACCTGATGGAACCCAACTGGCATCGGGCAGCAATGACAAGACGGTGCGGCTGTGGTCTCTCGAGAATCTATATCAGAATCCACGCATTATAGAAGGACATACTATGTCGATTAACACTGTAACCTTCTCACCTGATGGAACCCAACTGGCATCGAGCAGCGATGACAAGACAGTGCGACTGTGGTCTCTCGAGAATTTAGATCAGAATCCACGCATTCTAGGACATACTGATTGGGTTAGAAGTGTGACCTTCTCACCTGATGGCACCAAACTGGCATCGGGTAGCTATGACAAGACGGTGCGGCTATGGTCTCTCGAGAATTTAGATCAGAATTCATGCATTCTAGAAGGACATACTGATTGGGTTAGAAGTGTGACCTTCTCACCTGATGGCACCAAACTGGCATCGGGCGGCGATGACAAGACAGTGCGGCTGTGGTCTCTCGAGAATTTAGATCAGAATCCACGCATTATAGAACATACTGATTGGGTTAGAAGCGTGATATTCTCACCTGATGGAACCCAACTGGCATCGGGCGGCCATGACGAGACGGTGCGGTTGTGGTCTCTCGAGAATTTAGAACAGATACAATGCATTATAGGACATGCTAATTATGTCACTGGCGTGGCCTTCTCACCTGATGGCACCCAATTGGCATCGAGCAGCAATGACAGGACGGTGCGGCTGTGGTCTCTCGAGAATTTAGATCATGATCCACGTATTCTGAAAGGACATACTAATTGGGTTCAAAGTGTGACTTTCTCACCTGACGGCACCCAACTGGCATCGGGCAGCCATGACAATACGGTGCGGCTGTGGTCTCTTGAGAATCTAGATCGGAGTCCACTCATTCTAGAAGGACATACTGGTTGTGTTTATAATTTGACCTTCTCACCTGATGGCATCCAACTGGCATCGGGCAGCGATGACAAGACATTACGGCTGTGGTCTACGACATCCGGTAACTGCATAACAATTATATACCTTCCCGGAACAATTAGTAGTCTTGATTGGAAAAATACAAAAATGGGAAACTTTCTATTAACAGGTGGTTCTGATAGAGCCGTTCGTTTGTGGCATGTAAAAAGAATAGATAATAAAACGTCGCAAGTTGCTTTACATTGGACTTCACATCAAAATATATTATGGATTTCTAATGCATTTATTCAAGACGTGAAAGGTTTAAGCTCAATGAATATACGCCTCTTGAAGCAAAGAGGTGCCAAAGAAGACTCGGAGGTTTATTTTAACGAAAATAATCAAGTTTAAAGTCAATGTTTCGAAATATTAGCAATTAAATAGACTTATTATGTGATACTGTAACTTGTAAATTTATTATAAAATAAATACGTATTTACAAGTATATTTCTATGACCGCCTCAGTTATAAATTACACGTGATCACGTCCAATAATTAGACAGGCTATACTGTATTAGATTGCATCTAGGGTTCCGCGCCCTTTTTATGAAAAAACGAGAAGCCAAACGAGCATAGCTTTACAGGAGGAAAATCGAATATTTTATTTTGGGAGTATTAAAACTCTAGAGAGAAGGACATTTATAGTACAGAGCAACCAATCAGGCAGTAAAATCAATAAACGCCCTATCATAAAATAACATAATAACGATTAAGGATCTGGAAACGCGTCGGTTCGTTGTTTACTTTGAAAATTCGCATTAAAAAAAAAACTTTATATCATTGCATAACGTTGCAGCACTGCCTGATTTCTTAATTTATTCACGTGATATTATTTCCAAGTGATGTTCGTTCGGCGCTTCTATACACAGCTTTACCTCTGACTTCGCTTCTACAGGTTCATCTAATATTTTTTGGCTTTCAAATGCTATACATTTTCCTACTTTTAATGTATAAACATATCTTTGATTGAATTTGAATTTGAAGAATATATCACTTGCAACAGAGGACCAGAAGATGCAATATTTAAGCGTCGTTATAATTTGATACCATTAGGAATTGGTAAATTAAGTAAACGTGAGTTATGCGTAAATTGTATCAAACATACCTCCTTTCATAATCTGGGAAATTTTCAGAGATCAAGCTAAGAGGTATATGAATATTTTAGTTAACTTGTACAATATTTATTTCTCATTAGATTTTTTCTCATTAGTGTCCATTTGACTACAGGTGCTTTGAACAAATCAATTTACATGTATTATGTTAATATGATTTGTGCGAAGGTTTTTTTTATGAAATAATATTATTCACGAAATACATATGTTAATTATTTATAACATTAAGTATGCTCACGTGTGGAAAACAAAAACAGATGCGGCTGTACGAATATCAGTATATTTTTAAATTTTGCTTGAGTTATACTGTATTTTGTCTTTAAAATTAATGCTGTTGATAATGTTCTTATTCTTTATTTTTTTATAAAAATATATAATAGAAGTATAAAGACAATCAAAAACTCGAATGTCGTGTCATTGGATAATTTCATGAAATGCTGATGAGTTTATGACCTCACTGTTTGTTTATGAGAAATTGAAATGATCCTTAATGCAGAGACACCTGAATCGGATATTGGAATATACGTTTGATCAAACGCAAAGTTTAATATTTGTTAAAATGGATGTTTAGGAAACATGACTTAGCACGCCTTTCTTGATAAGCATTTCTTTCAGATCATTGGGACATTTTAACTTGATTTTTTAATTAATTTATTATTATCGGTCAATCAATATGTCCTATAATGTGTAATATAATATAAATTTAAAAATATAAAAAAAATTTTAATAAAAATTTTTAATTAGTAAAAAAATTTTTTTTAAATTATCAATATATAATATAAATTTTTAGAATAAATATTCTTTATTAAAAATAATTATAAATTATATAACTTTATTTTTTAAAAAATAATTTATTAAATATATAATTATTTAAGATTTTTTAAAATTTTATTAAAAATTTTAATATTTTTTAATATATACAATATATACAAGATAATTTTATATCATACGATAATAAATTTAGTCATAATTAGCTAATTTGTATTTTTTTTAGAATTTTTTTTTTGCTTACCATGATGATTATTCCAATATATTCTAATACGTTGCTCATTCCAATCATTACTATAATCTTGAAGTTGCCGTAAAACTTCAATTACCATGTCTTCGGGAAAGGTATCATAAACAAGAATTTGTTCAATTATTCTTTTTTCATTGTCAGTTGTAAGTCGTCGTTGCCGTTTTGAGCCATTTTTTTGCTCAGAATTAATGTTGGTATTTTTACTTTGATCTATATATTCACGTTTTTGTCCTTCTTTAGTTTTATTTCGATGTTCTAATAATGGAATTTGTAGTTTGTGCACAACTATATTACGTGCGCGACGGCCTTTTGTATTACGAATATCGATTTTATATATATCTTGACGCAAAATTGCATTAAGTCGTGCTATGCCCAAATCATAACAAGCAAATATTCTTGAAAATCCTGCTGAAGTTATTTCTTGAGCATTTGTAAAAAGTTCATGTGTACTAGGATCTGGTAATGAAAATGCATTATATAACTCATTTGCCAATTTCCATAAACATTCTTTTCGTGATTTAATAGCCCGTTCCTCTCTAACTATAATTGTATCATCCAAATATTCAGATATTAATAATCCTAAACGATCTCTTTCTGCTTGTGCAGAACTTATTTGTAATTTCAATTCCTCAGTATTTACTGCCCTTCCTCCAATATTTTGTTTTACAAACATAACACCAAATCTCTCTAATGCTTCATCAAATCCAAAGTAGTGTCCGGAACGAGTAAGATTTACTGAACAAACACATCGAAGTAATTTTTGGAGATGTGGATCATCTTCAATATAATATAAAAAATGTGTTACAGATCTGGCATAATTATTTTTTCTGGCAACAGGAAAAAGTGGAGAAAAAGCTGCAAGATTTCTTATTTGCATATCATAGTTTCCCCGACGAATACCAATCTTATGGCCAATCCAATAACCAGCCCAACAAAAATAGCGGTACCATACTTTGAGCACAAAGTTTTCTCCATTCTCGATACTATTTACTGTTTGATTTTCTTTGCGTAAATGTCGAAAAATTGCTATACCCACGGCTACCCATATTAGTTCCAGCACTTGACATGTGGCATGATAATCAACAACTTTTTCTAATTTATCTAAAAACTGAACTCCAAGTTTTGCAGCCATGCTAGCAATTCCATAACCTGAAAAGGTATTTATTAATGTGCTACACATATCACGAGATGTATGCCATTGGCCTAGTAAAGGCCTTACATTTTGTTTTTTTTCCTTATACGTTATTAATCGACGAAAAATTGCTTCATCACATGCAATATCTAGGCATCCAGTATTAGTTATTCCTACATCATTATAATACATATCACAAGCGGCATGGACATTCGTATCACAATTTGGATTTTCCCCTGGTCGAAGTATAACTACATTTGGAGGTGGCACCTGACATCCAATTGGTACTTTTTGTGCAATCTCATCAAGAATACCTTCAGCATCCCAATTGTTGAAACGTGTTGCTAAAAATTTTCGAAAGGTTTCTTCATAAATAGACAAAAGATTATTTGTAAAAGCCGATGTACCAAAAATATTTGGATTTATAGATTTGCTATTTTCAATACTACTGTTATCATCCATGTGATGATGATATTGTAATTGTGTTGGCATAGTAAACTGAAATACCATTCTCAAAGTAGCATGAGCAGTCCTACGGGTAGTATCAAAAATATTTCCATATGCATAAGTTCGTTCTATGAAGTCTATATTATCAATAACTAGGACATTCCATATATTCTCACCATGTAATAGTCGGGTTTCAGGACTTGTTTCATTGAAGCGAGCCTTTTCTAACAATCTTTCATGTTGTTGTGTATGAGATACGACATTTGCTACACAGAGAATACTATATAAAGAATGAAGTAACTTTGGTTTTCGACAAAGTGAGCTCATTATATGAGTAAGCCAGAGGTTGGTTCCCGGAAATGCAATATTTAGAACAATTGAAATAAGAAATGCAGATATCTTAGTTACACGATCTGTGTCGAAGATTTTTGATGGAAGATTTCTCTGTTCTCGTTTTTTTGATAGCACTTCATATTTTTTTTTTGTAAAGTATTAACTAATCCATTAATGAAGCCTGCCAAACATGAAGGAAAACCACTTTGATACTCCGCAAATGAGGTTGGATTTGCAAGCTGTTCTTTTTTTATTCGTACATCATGTCTTGATCGCCATGTTGCAACTCCTAATGCTTGTCCTAATTTTATAGCCGTATCAGCTGTGATGTTATACTGTTGTTCTGAAATTTTTGTCACTTGAAAATGTCCCAGTCTTAATGCTATCTTAACGAAAAGAAGGCTTGGAGGATCTATCATTATTGAGGTAGACTTGATATCACAAAATATTGGTAAAATAGAAGTCAGAGATTTTAATAAATCGACCTTATTTTCATTATTAGATTCAGTCATGTGTATAATCCATTGTCCCAAAACTTTAAGTGCTTCGTTCACATCATTCTTATGTCTATTTATACACTCAAAATTTGATTTGTTTCCACGACCTGATCTTTCGAAAAAATGCCCACCATGTGCAATAAAACATGTTGAACAAATATATCGAGGTCGATATTCAGTTTTTGTATTTGAGATGCTTTCTGATTCATTAAAAACAGGGCAAACCTTAAGTCCAATACAAGGAATCTGCACATTTTTTCCAAAAACATGCATTGAATGTTGTATACATGTTTTTCCTCGGCTAAAAAAATATTTGGATTTGTTACAAAATAAGCAGCGGCGACGAAAGATCCAGCTTTTTTCAATTGATCGAGTTTTCTTAATATGTGAAAGATGAAGTTGGTTTTGATCAAAAAGAAAATGAGATTGACAAACACCTATCATTGATAATCTATTTTCTTTTTCGGCTTGCTGAAAAGCTTCTGTATCAAGTTCCCAAGTTCCAATAAGTTGGGTAAGTGGTCTCTGTTTTGACGAATTACTTGAACAGCATTGAATACGGCCATCGATCAAATCCAGAATTGGACAAGCTGATAGTTTTTGATTGGTATTTAAGATATTCTCAACAAGATAATCGCTTCCATCACTTGATTCAGATTCCAGCTCAAATATTGATGATGTTAAAGTGTTGTCATTATCTACTTCCGTATTAATGTCATTTAAAAAGTGTATATCATCATTTTCATACGTCTCTACTAAAGTTCGTGCCTTTTCAAATTCAGCTTTGTCGAAAAGAAAAGGTTGTATTTCTACATCGAAATCTGTTTCATTTGCAATGCTATCCGTTGTAATACTCTCTGATCTTTCAGTAGCATGACTTATACTTTCATTGTCTGCTGGGTCATAATCATCATCACTATTATTGTAGTCGAAATTATTTAAAAAAAAAGTCTCATTATAACAAGTATTAACTACTTCAGCAAGTTTCAGTGCATTTGAATCCATAACATGTGTTTTTAATAAGGAAGAGGTAATGTAAGGCAGTTTAAAAATTAGACTACTTCGACTTAAGATTCTTTTAAAACGATCGTTGTTATAATAAATAAAATAAGACAATTGGTAAAAGACAGATACTAAGTTCTGTTTAACTTAATAAATCAAGGTGGAGTACCTTACACTATGAAGGTGTTGACCTAGGAACGAAGTTAACTTCTGGCAATGATTTTATATAAAGAACTAAAAAATTGAGCGTGTGTACATGCGTAGATCCCTTAATTGATACACTTGTTCAAAAATTAAGGGACAAATTTGTCGATCGTTATTGTTATTTTTTTTCTTATTTTTATTTAAGTATATATGGAAACTACTATTGCAATGAAGACTAGCTTTGAAAGAATATTTAAATGAGGAACACTTGATCTTCTGCAAGAGAAAAGGTAGTCTTATAATAATTTTTTATTTAAGTTTTTAAATTTCTGGTTTAGACCTAAAAAATATATAAAGAATAAAAGGCAATATCCTGGTTCCTGTGTTCTTTTTAAATGATAATGCCTTTATACTAAGTTCTTTTTTATTTATTTTGTAGTTATTATTGAGAATATATTCATTATTTATTATAAACTATAAAAGTTATTCACATTATTTACTTGATCAATCATGTCCTATTTATTAATACATTTGATTTGAAAGAATTTAGTATAGTTTTGATATTCAAGAGAGGCTGTTTAGTATAACATATGTTATTTTTTGTTTGTGTTTGATGAGGCTTCAATAAAGCAAGCAGGTATTATAAAAGAGTTGAAGGCCTTTAAATTTCCTATTAAAAAATTTTTATTTTTTTTGAAAAATAAAAAAAATAAAAGTCTATTATATGAAAGATAGTGATTTGTACATGTAATATTGGGATAAAATTATGAGTTTATATTATTCGTTGGTTATTTAATAGATAAATTAATCAATGCTTTTGATTTATTTAGTTATACAATATATATATATTATATTTCATTATTAAAATTATAATCTAAACAAAAATTTAGTCTAAATTTATAATTTTACTTTAAATAAATGTTGTCACAGCTTCGATCATAATAGGAAACTATTTTAATATATTTGTAAAATATATTAAAGATAAACTTTTGATTAAAAAAATAATACAAATTTTTATAATTAGCTACAATATATTAATTGACAACTATGATAAATAAAACTCTTTCCGCTGATCCTTTTGCCAACACAAAAAAACAGACATTCCAAGGAAATTTTATATTTCCTTGTAATAAAGTCTATACACTTTCCTTAACAACACTTATACCAAGAGACAATAGTCTCCCCCACTTGTTTCTTTCTCTCTTTGACATAAACTTCCTGTACTTCTGCAAGTAAATACAAGAAATATCTACCTACAAAGTTAAAGGCAAGAAAACTTCGCTAGGAAAAAGAACCTGTAG